TTCCATCCCCCTCATACCATCCCTGCTCCCTGCATTTCAGCAGTACAAATGGTTACAGAATCCCTCACAACCCTATTGAGCCCAGAGAAAAGTAATCAGTAGAGCCACAGATGACACTGCCCGCCATATGAATGCGAACTTTTCAGGGTGGATGTTCACCTTTCGCACATGGGAAGACAGACAAAACAAGAGAACAGAAATTCTGCAGCAGACACACATGCACAGCTGGCAAGAACTTTCACACCCTATCCCAAACAGACCGTACATGCACATTTCCCCACATTCTTCTCTACTGTTAAGATGACTTCCAAGTAGCATCCAAAAAGTGCTTGAGAGCACAAAAATCTAAATCCAGCCTTGTTCCAGCATCCCTCATCTACTACTAACAGTCTCCAGACAGGAAGAGATTATTTTTCAATGTGAGCTAGTTAGAAAAACTAGTTGAAATACCCTGATAATTATCGTTAACACAAACATTTCTGATACTTGCAAAGTAAATTAAGCTTATTCCACAATTCAGATCATTTCTAAATATCAACTGTATTCAATGAAGCCCCTTATGAATAAGATACTTCAGATTGCTACATGTTTCTGTTAAGCTGTGAATCTACATATCACGTACAAGTGAAAAGGTCTTCAGAATACATTAAATTCTATGTGCAGATTACTGTAGGAAACAGATAAAAACACAGACATAGAAAAACTTGTGAGACACATGACTTACTATCCATAATGGGGGAAAAAATAAACCAACCCTTTCTCTACCTTAAGAAGCATATGTGGATTATTCCAAAACATTATTACTCCAACCACCTTGTGTCCTAGGCCTCCTAACTTCCACTGTATTTGTATAGTGTGTCCATGCATTAAAACAGTCATCTCAGGCACTTTTCCGCAGAAGCAGTACTGCCCTGCACATGACATGTTGAGCTGTTCTGCCGTTAACAAGGAACGTGTCCTTTTGCAATATTAGGACAACACTGAGCTAAAGCTTGACAGGCCTTTTATCATTCTGTCCTAATAGACATTTTGAGCAAAAGAGTTCTAGTTAGAAAAGTTTCTAGTTAGTTAGTTTCTAGTTAGAAAAGGCAAAGCTGTTTTCTAAGAGCAGCACAGTTTTTTTCCTCAGGATTTCTTCTAGGTGCTCTGAAAATGACACAAACTAGGATGGACCATTATATATATTTTACTTTTTTTCCCCAGACTAACCATAATTAGGTTATTCCACCTTTTATCAAAGTAAGAATATTTCAGAGCTACTCTCTATAACCAAATTTAGACAAGGAAAAAAAAAACAAAACACAATACCTTTTCAGAGGCTTTACCCCACCAGAAAAAGTAATGGTTTCCTAAAATTCCAATATTAAAAAAAAAAAAAAGCGTGCTGTTTCAGCTGCTCTCTGAACCACTTTAAGTTCTATACTTCTCTTCTATTCTCGAGTTTTCTGCCTTGGAAAGGTGTTGATACTTGACTGAAGTTTTGTATTTCCAAAAGCCCAACACCAGGCTACGGGCTAGTAAGTGAAACCACTCTCACAGGGTACCACAGGAAAGCCTTTTCCTAGCCTTCTTCAGACGTATTTCACACTATTACTTTACCCTAGATGAGTATTTCCCAAACTGTGGTTGACTGCTTGGTGACAACTTGTCACTTCTTCTGGCAGAATGAGTTTAAAAAGATTAATTTTTTTTTGATAGTACATCAGTACCATTGTGAAAGCAGTGTTCATTATGCATGGAAAGTTCCATGACAACACTAAGTATTCCGCATTACAGAACTCTGAAAAACATGCCTTGAGTATTTCACACACTTCACATCTAAGAGTTCTTGTACGGATTTGGAGAATACACTGTTTAGAGACAGCTGCATCACTGAAACTCTGCTAAGTGGAAGGCTATTGATGAAAGGAACCGGGGTGAGAACTGCAGTGCTGAACAAAGATAACGATTCACACACCAAAAAACACTCTATTTTTCCCATGCTATCAAGCACTGAAGTTGACTTTTACTTTGTTCGGGTAGTCTAACAGGTGTCACATGGTTGGATAGTAATGACTAACCAGGAAACAACTGACCACCTTTTCATCGGACAGAGATTCACACACAAAAACAAGGCAACGCTCCACCAGTCCTTCCACCAAAACAGTAATAAGGTCAGGCACACCAAAGATTCATTACCTCATACTCATATTTGGGATGGATGATTCCATAATGCAAGAGTAGTAGATGAGACACATGTCAAATGCGGTCTGCTACAAGAGTAGCTCTCCAGACCGGGTCTTAGTTAGCCCCAACACATTTTCACGTTTCAGGTAAAAGTCTCAAACATTTGTCCCATTTTCCTTTTAAAGATCCGCATGTGTTGGGTTGTTTTGTTTTCTTCCTCCTCCTTAGACAAATAAGGGAGCAGCTAGAGTGCATTACCACAGCTCTCAACCACAGACATTGTGTGCCAGGCCACCTGAATTTGCAAGGCTAAAACCAGCATACTACTACCTACTGATAGCCCTGGGTGCAGTTCTAACACAAGGCTGGAAAAAGCAGCAGCACTGTAGGAAGTCAAGAAAATTTCTCCAAGTCAGAGTTCTGCAAAGAAGTCTAAAGAACGTCTCATAACAAGAATTGTTAAAAAGCTAATCTAAAGGAGAACTAACAGAACTCCTCACTAACACGGAACCTCGTTCCCCCTCCCATGGGTCATGTCAACAGCCACCAGCTCTCAAGAGCAGCCACCGCTGCCAGAACCTACACACGCAAGGGGGAACAGCGCAGACACATCTAAGGAGCTCTTTTGAAGACCTGCACCCAACCGCCTCGCTGAACTACACCGGTAATAAACCAAACAAATGCGCAAGAGTGTTTAAACACGTTACAGGAAGCACAGATTCCTACAGCTGAAAACAAAGTCTGAGACAGAATGAAATCTATCATCCCCGCACGAAATCACGCCTTCAGGCCAGGGGCATGGCTTAGGCGGATCAAAAATGCTTAACACCTTCCCGGAAACAAACCAAAACACAACACTTCGAAGCTCAATACAGACGTATCAGCATCGGAAGGCAGGAACGGCCCAGACGCGTTTATTTCACGCTTAAGTTACTTCCAACCACCGCACCCGAGGTTGCTGAGGCTGCTGTGCCCACTCCGCCCGAAGAGCCCCGCGGCTCGCAGGG